TATTTTTAAATGGGCTGGCTCCGGCCTATATAGCCAAACTCCTCCATCGCTACACCCCAGCCAGAGCTTTAAGGTCTGCTGACCAGCTGTTGCTGATAGTGCCCAAGACCAGGCTCAAAACCCGAGGGTACCGAGCCTTCGCAGCAGCTGGCCCTAGGCTCTGGAATAGTCTGCCCCTAATGTGAGGTCGGCCCAGACCCTAGGGGTTTTTAAATCCTCACTAAAAACACACTTTTTCTCTCTGGCCTTCTAGTCAGAGCGGAGTATGACACCTGACTATTCCCTATGTTTTTGTTTTTTATATTTCAGTTGTAAATTATTGTCTTTTATTGTGATTGTAGTAATGTGTTTTTATTACATGTACAGCAATTTGGCTTGACCAAAAATCGCTTTTAAATGTGCTATAAATAAAACTTGATCTGATTTGATATAACATTAGAAAGACTGATTCTTATTATTACATTATAAGCTTAGTGCTCATTTTCTGTGGCTGTGACTTTGGAATAAATAGACGTCTTCAGCTTGCAATACAGAGTAGCAAGGTCAGGTGCAGACACTGAAAGAATACAAAGAGTTATTCATGAACAGGACATCACTCCGGCCTTGAGCTTTGGGTGAGCTCCACTCCCACACATAGCTAGGAAGCAGCCTTATGAAGATTCCACTTTTTCAAATCAAATCAAATCAAGTTTTATTTATAAAGCACATTTAAAAGCTATTTTTGGTCGAGCCAAAGTGCTGTACATGTAATAAAAACACATTACTACAATCACAATAAAAGACAATAAATTACAACAGATATAAAAAACACAGGGAAAAGTCAGGAGTCGTGCTCTGCTCTGACTAGAAGGCCAGGGAGAAGAAGTGTGTCTTAAGAGTAGATTTAAAAAAAACCTAGGGTCTGGGCCGACCTCACATGGAGGGGCAGAGTGTTCCAGAGCCTAGGGCCAGCTGATGCGAAGGCTCGGTGCCCTCAGGTTTTGAGCCTGGTCTTGGGCACCATCAGCAACAGCTGGTCAGCAGACCTTAAAGCTCTGGCTGGGGTGTAGCGATGGAGGAGTTCAGCTATATAGGCAGGAGCCAGCCCATTTAGTGCTTTAAAAACAAATTAAAAGATTTTAAAATCAATTCGGAACCGAATTGGAAGCCAGTGTAGTGAGGCCAGAATTGGGGTGTTTTTTGTGGCCAGTCAGAAGACGTGCAGCTGCGTTTTGGACTAGCTGCAGGCGTTTAATTGAGGCCTGGTCCATACTCACATTTATGGCGCATTTCCACTGCAGCGGGTAGCCCCGTTTAAGCGTCCTTAACCGTCCTCAAGCGGCCAGGCCAGTTTTTGGTGGCCTTTCCATATAGCCTAGTACCGGCTAGCGGGTACTTTTTCCCTCTTTTTCCGGCCCCATAAAATCGTGGTTCTATCAGACCAGGGCCAGGGCTGAACTAGTGACGTCAACACTCTCGACTGCTGATTGGTCAGAGAGAATCGTCACAAGATCGCGCGTGAGTTCATCCCTAGCGTCGCATATATATTTAGAAGCAAGCTTGCAGCATTTTTATAAACAGCATTTTGTATACGGATGAGCTACAAAAATGGCTACGTCTAATAAGAAAAGCACACCGTGGTCGACCGAGGAGGTGACGACGTTCCTAACATCTCATTGGGGATGATCAAATCCAGCGGGAGCTCGACGGAACAACTCGAAATGTGAACAAAAACAAAGCCGATCGTCCCGCCTACACTGCGTTGCTACCCCAGGTCCTAAACTGTAATGGAATGCGCCACGGCCTCGGACAGCCAGCGAGGCAGCCCGAGGCCTGAGCGAGGACGCTTAGGGACGCTTAAACGGGGCTACCCCGTTGCAGTGGAAATGCGCAAATAGAGCGTTGCAGTAATCCAGTCTTGAGGTTATGAAGGCATTAATAAGCCTTTCTAAGTCTTTAAAAGATAAAAACGACTTGGTTTTGGCCAATAGTCTTATTTTTTTTAAAAAGCAGGATTTGACTACGGTGCTGACCTGCTTGTCAAATTTAAAAGCGCTATTGAAGGTCACTCCAAGGTTCGTGACAGAGGGGAGGATGTTTTTATTGAGAGAGCCCAGAATATCAACCGGAGAGGCTGGAGGTTGGGTTCCAAAAAAGATGACCTCAGTCTTGCTCTCGTTGAGGTTGAGAACGTTTTTGCTCAGCCAGGATTTTATCTCTGTTAAGCAGTCCATCAACTGCTGTAGTGAGTTGACATTTGCTTTGAGAGGCAGATATATCTGTACATCGTCGGCATAGCAGTGGAAGGGAATATTGTCTTTTGTGAGAATTTAACCTAGAGGCATGTACAGTAAAAAGAGGATGGGGCCCAGAATAGAGCCTTGGAGAACCCCACAGGTAAGAGGGGCTTTGGCAGAGGAGAAGGCACCTAGATGCACTGAGAAGCTATGGTCTGTCAGGTAGGACCTGAACCATGCAAGGGCAGAGCCTGTGATGCCAGTGGACTGTTCAAGCCAGGACAACAGGATGCTATGGTCCACAGTGTCGAAGGCAGCTGTCAGGTCTAACAGCACCAGGACAGCTGGGCTGCCTGAGTCGGTGGCCAGGAGCAGATCATTAAAAACTCTTAAAAGGGCTGTTTCAGTGATGTGCATAGGTTTGAAGCCAGACTGAAACTGTTCATGGATTCCATGCGTGGTTAAGAAAGACTGCAGCTGGGCGTAGACTACTCGCTCCAGGGCTTTAGATAAAAAAGGTAGCTGGGAGATGGAGGGGTCGAGATTTTTCTTTTTAAGTAGTGGCTTGACCACGGCATGTTTGAAGGCAGCTGGGACACATCCTGAGCTAAGAGAGGTATTTATAAGCAATAAAAAAACTTTCTCCAACTGAATCGAAAACATCTCTGAGAAGGCGAGAGGGAATGCTGTCTAAGGTGCAGTTTGTCGGCCGCAGGTGCTTGACTACATCCGAGAGAGAAGAGAGGGATACAGCCTCAAAGTGGTCGAGAACAGCAGGGCACAGAAAAGGAGCAGAATCTGGGGTAGCACTAGTGTGGGCTAGCCTAAGAGCAGATACTTTTTCAATAAAAAAATAAATACATTTAAGAAACTTATCACAGAGAGTAGTCGATGGCACAATAGAAGAAACATCACAGGGATTAATAATAGAGTTGAGGACATTAAAAAGAACCTGAAGTTTATGGCTGTTTTTGGAGATTAAGAGAGAAATGTGCTCTGTTTTGGCTGCTTTGACTGCCGTCTGGTAGTCGGAAAGGTAAGCACGAAGGATTTCTAGGGAGACAAGGAGTTTATCCTTTTTCCATTTTCTCTCTGCACGCCTGCAAGCGCGTCTGAGAGCATGAGTACAATCATTGAGCCACGGCTCTGAGAGAACTTTGGTGCGTCTAAACGTAAAAGGAGCAAGATAATCCAGTATTAGGGTACATGTCGAGTCAAACATGGAGATAAGCTCATCCGCTCTAAGAGCACAGTTCACCTCTAATTTACAGGTCGGAGAAGCATTAAAAACATCAGAGGCAGTCAAGGGGTTAATCGAACACAGACGACGCGCAGGGGCACGTGATTCGACTCCTGCGGAAGGGATCGAGGTTATAAACAGAACTGGTAAATGGTCTGAGATATGCGTTGCTTTACAGATTTCATCCAGAGACAGACAGTCCAAACGATAATACTAAGTCCAAAGTGTCCTTTTTCGTGTGTTGGGCCAGCCACGGACTGAACGAGACCAAAAGAATCAAGGAGATTTAAAAAGTCCCTAATATGTAAGAAATATGTTTTCTGTAGAAACATTAGCGAAAACAAATTATGTATGATGGTGCCAGAGTAGGGAGGGACTTCCACAGGCTGGCCGAATGCTGATTGGAAGGTCGTGTTGCCAAGAGAGTCTGCGCACCTACCAAAGAGAACCAAGTCTAAACCACGGTATCTCTTCAACTAGTCTTGACCAATCATAAATGTACGGGCAACGCCCTGTGTAATAAAAATGTATGCACGCACGAGGTTTGAGGCTCTTTTCCGGAAATAGTGGTTATATATTACAGCTTTGCTGCCTGTAATTTCTATGACGTGACGGAGTCCTTGGCCAAGTGAATATATATATTTTGCTCTTTCCTGGAGTTTTTAACACAACAATGGACACCTTTTTTGTTAATAATTACACCATGCTTTTTTGTATGACGTCCAATGAATAAAGATATGAGTGGAGAACTGTGAGTTGTAACAGCAAGATTGAAGCTTATGTATATGGCAGATGACGCTGAAGCTGAACAGGCACTTGAATTTGCAGGGGACTGTAAATAACCAGACAAAGAATCAAACCTGCATATGTATGACATTCGATGTAACCTAAACAATACAAGGCCTTTTTTTGTCATGAATAACATCAGCAGAAGTTTGTAAAAATGTTAGTCCATTTATGAAGTAGGTGGGACAATGCACAGTAATAATCAGAGCATGTATTGCACATCATGCAAATATGATTTAACCATACAGGCACATTTTCACCTGGTTCTCAGTGTCAGTATGACATGAGTAACATGAATGGTTCTGTATGGACTTTTCAGTTATAGAGGTATGAGTTATATCTAGTACTATCAGTGGGAAGTACAATAGACCCACATAACTGTGGGTATCCTGCAGTAAGTTGTGAAGGGATCTAGTGTATTTGCTTTGTTATTTCAGGCAAAAATTCAGTAACATACTTACAGTAACAATCATAAAATCAGTAGTGGAATTTGATGCAATGTCTGCATTCCTGCAATGCAACCACTATATCTGATGCATTGCCACCATCTAGTGATGAGATTGTGAAGATCAGGAGGACACACAAAACTGTATCCTGTAATGTGCCTGATCAAACCTGAGTATACAGTAGAGCTAGTGGAAGGGTTCTACTGTCTGTATTTTTTTTTAAAGGATGTCTTAGTTTTCACACATATTGAGGTCATTTAACAGCACTGCTTGGTTTCTGTGCTGTAGTGCCAGAGCTGCAGGATTACTCACAGATATGAAGATGTTGAGCAGGTTCTCCAGCGTGGGCAGCTGTGGAATGAGCTTCTGGACCACTTTACTGAACGCCTCGAATATGGAGTGATCGTATATACTGGTTAAATAGAAGCTGTAGACAACAGGGAGAAAAATTGGAATAAGAAAACATTTAAATAACAAACTTTGCAATTTTTATTTTCATACCTCTGTAAAGACCATGGATGTATAAAGAGATCTGGATACAGCGTTGGAGGCGGGGTCCTTTTCATTCCAATGAAAGTTGCTAAAGCCAAAATAGCCTGACTCTCGCGTACAAGCATGCGCAGATTTGTATTAAGCCCCGCCTCCAATCCGCCCTGTCACGTCTGGTCTTAATTAGTCCATTGAATTAAAAGGGAAAATCACTCTGGCTTTAGATTTTAGGGCATAATGATTGTTCGTCCAGGGAAGTTGATTTACGTAAAACATAATTATGTACTTGTTGTGGAAATAATTATCATAAGACGCCAATTAGTAACATACAGGACAAACCTCGATGTCTGTTTACCTTCTTTAAGGACACAGGCGGCTTAGCCAATAATGTTATTGTTCCCATTCTGTGACCGGTCAATACTGGGATACAGATGGTCTGTGTTGTGGGTACACTGGGACACTTCCTTCTCTGTATTTGTGGACTCCAAGGTAAAATCTTCGAGGTCATAAGTGTCCGAGGCAAGTAGCTCTGTGTTCCCACACTGTTTAGGCTATCTCCTCAAATATGTTGTTTACTCTCTGCGAAACCAGTTAGATGGGCTGGCAAGAGAGAGGCTCTCCAGAATTGACGTGGCAACTCTACCGTGGAGTCAGAACCTCTGACTCTTGGATTTGTGATGTGAATACTCTGGTACCAACTCCAAATAAATCACAGTGGTTTGACATCAAAGCTCCGACTCTTCCCGTGTCTCCTTCCTGAGTCGGTGACTCCACTGCATGCTACACAGAAGTTTCCTCTACAGTACTGATTTACAGATGTCTCTTTCCTAATGTAAGTCAATGGGAAAAAGTATTTTTGGGCCCAATGACACGGAAGTAGTAGTAAACCGTTTGGCTACTACAACAATGAATACCTGCCATGACATAGTTATATCACACACCTATTATTCACTTTCATGGATCCTGTTAAAAAAACACTTAGAAGGTATATTCTTTTTTTAATTGTTTGTTTAATTTATTCGTTAATCTCCAAAGTGTTTTATTCAGTTGTTTTCGCGATCCTCCGAATCCTCCACAGATTTCAAAACCCTCCATCCTCCTGCAATCATCACCTTTTCAAATCTAGGGGAACGCGATATGATCTAAACTTTGTATCACAGTATTTTATAGTGTTTTGCCGTGACAGTATTACAAAATTAAAAGAGATATCTGAATTTATGTATTATCTTAAAATGTGAAACATCATGCAATTGAAGTCTAATTTAACTTAAAGCCTGACCTAGCCTATGTAGGTTTCTAAGTCTAAAATGTATCAAATCTGATTAGTACGTTTATGACTCAATATACCATTTTGAGATCTGGTTATATTACAGTATCCATTTGATCCATAAATATTGTGAAACCAAAAACAGTTAGCTCACCTCAGGTGTATTCGCTCCAGGCCTGCATCCACTTGGTCATCGTTGGCTCGTTTGTGGATGTCCCTCTGCTTCTCGATCTTATGGTCGTCTGACAGGCCATCCACTTTGTGAATGAACACCTCGAAGTTGATGTCTGGGTTGACTGCGTAGGCCCTGGTCACCGTGAGGTGCAGTCTATTCAGAGCCTCCACATAGTCATCCTATCAGGACGAAGAAAAAATATCCACACAGACAACAAATGTTCTTACTGCATCTTGTATTACATTTTGTATCAGTGGCAGCTGATAAGGAACACAACATTCAATTACAATAATGTCCTGATCGTATTTGTACACTTTGGAATACAAATAAATAAACATTTGTATGCAAAGATTTAGAAAAGACAGCAAAGAAACCTCTTATTATTGTTTTCTAAACTAATTAAATATTAGGCAAGCACCCTTTTTTGTAGCGATATTAATATTTAATTGATATAGTTTATTACATTTTTAAGGGGATCAAAATCAGAACACTGCTCAATGTGCCAGGTATTTATTGATAATGGTATCAGTTATAAGAATGATATGCTTTCTTGCCTTGATTTGAGGATTGATACCAATCTCATATTTCAAATCAAAGCCTTTAATTACTGTAAGGTTATGTAGCATAAATTCTTTAAAGAGAAGAAAAAACTATCCTGGCTCAATCCGAAGGTTTGAGCCCTTAAAGCTCACGACTATTTCCTGGAGTCTATGTCGTGGTCTCTGTAACTGGGAAGGACGTGAGGGGATGTGGCCATATAACTCATCATGTTATTGTGCACATTAGCACTACCTGTCTTAAGCCTTGAGTGGTTTTTCCTCTGACCTGTGAATCAATGACAAAGATGAGTGCCCCGGTGCCTCTGAAGATCATTTCATAGTCGAAGGTGGGGTCAAAGAAGTCGATCTGGCCGGGGAAGTCCCAGATCTGGAAGCTGACGAAGGAGCTGTTGGAGACGTCCTCTCTACAGATCTTGTTGGTGCTCTCCAAGAACAGGGTCTCGTTGGGGGACATTTTATGGAAAACCACCTTCTGGATGGAAGACTTCCCACTCCTCCTCAGGCCCATCAACAGGATACGAGGTTTGACCTCTCCATTCAGAGAATTTGTGAAGCCCAACTCTACACAACAGCAAAGGAGCAGGGGCACTAAATAAGATCTCCATCCTCAACTATCTTTAACAGCAAAGTTTAAAGATTGCTTCAAGGGGGACTCCACTGATTAGCATGTCAAATGATATTATTTCGAGGTAATATAAAAATAATTCTAGGATAAAACATTCCTTAAAAAAAAAATAAAAGTGCAAATAGCATTTTGGCCAACTGGCAATTCGACAAATCTACAGTAGCATCCTGTATAGCGCAAAAAAAAAGAAAAGAAATCTGAAACCTGTACACGGCTAGAGATTCCAGTTGCTGGAGGAGGCAAATAAGTAACCCCCATACTTATTAACACTACCAGGTTTATTCTGCCTCATTTTAACACCGTTATTTATATTTGTTTAATTGCCTTTGACAGTAACATTAGCCAGGCTACTAACGGTATACATGTTGCTAGCACTATATCAGGGGAGGGGAACCTCCGGCCCCTGTGCCGTATACTGCCCGCGAGACAATTTGGTACAGCCCTCGAGGTAATTTATAAACGCACGCAAAAAAGAAAATAATTAAAGAAATCTAGACCACAAAAAAATAAGAGAATAAAGTAAAGAGGTATAAAATACTATATGACAGTAAAAAAAAGTTGTTATTAATAAACAAGAATACAGTTTGAAAGGGGGGTGATTTGTAAAATATATCTATAAAGAAAAATAAAATCTGCTTACAGTTGTGTTTCATCTGGGTGTTGAGAGATGTATCCATAGATCTCTTAATTTTGCTCTCAAAGTGCACCAGATTGATGCTTTTAACTTCAACATTTAAAAAAAAATCTTCACGGGGGAGCATGCCCCCCGGACCCCCCCTAGAGGAGGTTATGTCCCCCCCCCCCCACTTAAATCATGTTTACATGAATAGGAAACTAAATACATTTGCACACATCTTGTGTCCATATCTTTCCGTTTTGGTGCCACAACCGTGCACGTGCCTGCATGCGCGAGTCATGGTAAAATATCTGGATTAAGAGGTTGCTTTTTCTTTGCACAGCATGAAAGAAAGGCCAAATGAATGGGCTGTGATTTTAGTATTTTTAAGCAGAGGTCAATAATTTGTACGGCCCTCGGAGGATGTTGAACAAATTGAAATGGCCCTTGAGATGAAAAAGGTTCCCCACCCCTGCACTATATGAAGTAGATAGATCTGCTTATCACTGAACATGCTGCTACTGCACTCTGGGCTTTATTTGGCCATCTTATTTTTAATCAAGCACTTTTTTTGTCTTAAAAAGAGCTTTAGATTTTAAATGTAAATGTTTTATTTTCTTTAGTATACTGACATATATATGTATAATATATGGTTTTATATGAATGCATATTTGCACCTGCACTGGAGTCAGCGTTCCCCATTTCGTTCCACCCTCATGCATGACATGTTCTGGAATGATAATAAATTATTATGATGATTATTCGTACGAAAACCTAGGATAAAAAATGTGTCTTCAGTATCTTCGGTAAGCCTCTGTTTGTAAAAAAGTGTGTCCTGTGTTGTTGTTTGCTTTGAGGAAAACAGAAATATCCTAACAAATCCTGTTCTTTCAGTTTTTAATGTATGGTTTCTGTCCTTATTAACTGAGAAAAAAAAGTTGAAATTCGATAAATAAATACTTAACACAAAGGTATCCAGCTTATCTAAAAAAGGATTTTTAAAAAAATGGGAAAATTATTTTCAATTATTATCAAACTTATTTCAACTAATATTAAACAAGTTATTATTCTGACATCTCTATGCTAACTGAAGGAAAACACAGTGTCACATGAATGAAGTGTTTTCTAGCATAGGGGTCTCCTGTTCTATATCGTATAAGGCTTCGCCCTCTAAGGCTATCGCTATTGGGTTAATCCCACTGCACGTGTGCAGCACTGACAGATTTATTCCACGCCCACCTATGACGTGGGCCCCACCTCCGGGCTCACTTCCGTATAAATAGGAAGTAGGCCCTACAATCCACTCCTACTTTTCTTCAGCACTCCGTTGCAGAAGCATTGACAGGCAAAACAAGTTCTTTTAAGAGCTACTTACTAAAAATTCCTGGTTCCCCTGGGCCCATCCTCCCTCTCCTCCGGACGGGGGAAAGGGGGCCCGGTGTCAACCCGACATATGAGTTACGACCGGAGCTCACGGTGTGAGTTTTGCCGGGGATTAGAGCACGCAAACGCGGCTCTCACTCCCCAGGTGTCGTGCACTCATTGTGTCCGTCTCCCTCTGGCCCACAGACAGTGGAGAGCGGACGCTCTCGCTGCTGCGGCCGAGGATGATTGGCTAGTCCAGGAGTTTTACTCTGTGGACCAAGCCCTTTATTTATTGGATCCGAGTGGCGGGCAGCAGTCAGGCGACTTCTTCCCCTCCATTCACGGATCACCATGTGGTTCCCCCGCCCTGTCTCCCTCTCCTCCGGCGGGGGACAAGGGGCGGGGGCCCGGGGTCAGCCCGGTAGCCGAGCCTAGGTTCGGCTGCCGGGCTGACGACGGGTCAACGGGTCCCTCTATCCGCCATCACGGCTCTGCCGTCGATAGGCGGTATTCTCCAGGAACTCCCGGAGATCATCGGAAAGGCAGCCGCCTAATGAGATCTCCCCGTTTCCCCGGTTCAGGAGAGCTCTCCTCCGGATGACATAAAAAAAGCTGCATAAGCGGCCGCCTCACAGCCTGTCGGTTGTTACGCAGCAAAGCTTACGGCTCAAAACAGCTGTCTTTAAAACCTGTCGGTTAATTAGACAGCCCGGGTTTGTTTCCTATGTCACAGATGTGCCTCCTACACACACCTCCGCTCATTCCTCAAGCAGGTTTGAGCGTGAACCTCAATGTCCGTTTTACGAGTTTTCTCCTAAAACGGCGACATGAGGAGAGCCGCTGTGTAATACAGCGTGTGGAGGTGCATAAGCTTGTTACCTGTACGGTTAACAGACAGCGGGGCTCGCCGTTTGAGCCGGCTGTAACCTGTTGGTTAGCGCGGCAGCGGGGCTCGCGGCACAAGCCAGCTGTTATTAACCAGTCGGTTATTAGACAGCAGGGCTTGACGGTTAAACCTGATGCTCCTAATCTGTCGGTTATAGGCAGCACGGTTTTTCCTCTGTCCCAGATGTGCCTATACTACACACGGTCGTAATGAGCTGTTATTACGCACTGTGTGAATAGCACTGCACACACCTCCGCTCATTCCCTCAGCGGGTTTTGAGCGTGAACGCGCCTCAATGTCCAGTTTACGAGCCTTCTCCTAAACAGAGACAGGATGAGAGCCGGGTGAGATGCAGAGTGTGGAGGGCCCCTCGCAGCCTTTTCGGTCCGGGCCCCTCTTGGGCTGCTTCACGGGCAACGGCGGCGAGGGCTCTGACGTGGCTCGTCACCATGACAACCACAGCACATCCAAAACATGCGTGCGCTCTCAGAGTATTACTCAGAGTGGCGACGCGTGTATTCGATGGACAGATTGATAAAATAATAAGCAGCAAGGCCCACCGGGTAAGCCGGCTGCCCCTAACCTGTCGGTTATAGGCAGCATGGCTCACTGCATAACCGGCTGTCTTTAAAACCTGTTGGGTTTTAGGCAGCTCGGATTTGTTTTCCTCTGTCCCAAACCTACCTCCTACACACGGTCGTAATGAGCCACGAGTGCCATTATTACAGTGTGGACAGCACTGCACACACCTCCGCTCATCCCTTAGGGGTGTTGAGCGTGAACGCACCTTAAATGTACGGTTTACGAGCCTTCTCCTAAACGCGACATAAGGAGAGCCTGTGTGAAATGCAACGTCTGGAGGGCTCTGGCGTGGCTCGTCACCATGACAACCACAGCACATCCAGAGCAGGTTCGCGCCTTGAGTGACGGCGCGTGGGTTAGATGGACAGAGGGAAGTTAATATGCAGCAAGGCTCCCCGGTTAAGCCAGCTGCCAATAGCCTATTGGTTACTTGGCAGCATGGCTCGCTGCCTAAGCCGGCTGGGTTTTTTAACTTATCGGTTAATAAAACAGCTGGGCTTGCTATTAAAATCCGTCTACCGTAAACTTTTTGGGTTTAGGCAGCATGGATTTTTCCTCTGTCTCAGACACCTCCTACCCACGGTCGTAATGAGCCGACGGAGGGCCATTATTACGACTCATGTGGACAGCACTGCACACACCTCCGCTCATCCCTTAGTGGTGTTGAGCGTGAACGCGCAGTTTACGAGTATTCTCCGAAACGACGACATATTGAGAGCCTGTGTGAAATGCAGCGTGTGGAGGGCTCTGGCATGGTTTGTCACCAACCACAGCACAGCCAGAGAATGTACACCCGGCGCTATCAGAGTACTGTATGGTACTCAGGGTGGCGGCGAGTGTGTCTGATGGACAGATGGATGAGCAGGCGGATGGGCAGAGGGTAGTCTCTGCAATTCGCCTCTCCCCCCCGCAGTTCTTCGGGATACAGGAAGTCCTGTCATCCCAGGAACAGTGTCTCGCGCTCCGTGCAGAGCGGCAGGAACTCTGGTTAAAGAAAGCCTTTTCACGGGGTTCCTCAAAGGGAAGAAAATCAGGGGTTGTTACTCCCGCTATTTTCTGGTCCCGAAGGAGACGGGGCGGGGGGAATGAGACCCATCCTCGATCTGTCAGTGTCCAACAAGGGAATGGCCTTTTCCCATGCTGACGATTAAACAGGTGCTGGAGTGGTTCACCAGGGAGGTTCACATCCATAGTCCTGAAGGATGCTTACCTCCACGTAACCATCATCCCGAAACACAGCAAATTCCTGCGTTTCTCATTCCTGTCTCCACACACTTTTTTCAAAGTGGGTGGAGACGGTTGGAGCAGTTACTCAGAATGGGGATGAGGGTTATTTTGCCTGGACGACCGGCTGTGGCTGGCTCGCTCCAGGGAGGAAGCGGTTTTTCAGACGATACAGTTTGTATCTCATCTGTCAAAGCCTGGGTTTCATTATCAACTGGAAGAAGAGCTGTCCTCGTCCCTCCCAGACATTTAACTGGGAGTGG